CACTATAATTTATCAAGCTTAGCAACTAAGCTGTATTTGGGTCTAAAAAATATGAACTTTTGAGCAGACTAAGGACACAACCTTCCTCCTTGAAATCTAGGTTCAAAAGATGATCCCATATAGGCTAGCCAATGAAATTCAAGACAGCAATGACAACAGGAATGAATGTAGAAAACAACATTTGAACCAATGTACATGCTAACAATGGTTCAATCAATGAAGTTGGTGATCCTGAGAGACTTAAAACAAAGTGAAGTGAAAGGAAAATAAAATATTGGATATTACAGTTATAAGTCCATAAATTCACCACTGCTCCACAGGGGGACTGAAAAGCCAACAGATTAAAAGAAGGCACAGGAAAAAGCAAATCTAAATTCTCTCCAGAATGTTAAGCATTGCCCTAAATTGCAGCCTCAGAGCCTCCCGGAGGAACGCTACAGAACCGAATATATGTCTCCATCTCACTACAAATAAGATCACTGAAAATCTCAAATGAGAGTGACCCCCCTCCGATTGTTGTGTGTGATGCTACGTATCAGATGTGGGATAGGAGAGACCTGATTTGCTTCCATGCCAGGAATTCATACCATAAATTGGCTTGCCATTAGGAATTTTTTTAATGAAATTCAAACAAGTAGCATGGAGAATGTTCAAAGTATCTCCGAATGATTGTATTACTAGGAAACCCGTTAGTGATACTTTGTCCAGAAAAAGTGATAACATTATCTGAATGAGGTGCTTATATACAGTAACAGGATAGAGAGCACACTAACATAGGTGGTGAGTGTCATGAGACAAATATAGCCAAGGGCAATTAAGTGGAGCAAATGAGAAACAAATCAGACCAATGCTTCGATTGGCAAAGGAAGAAGCCCTGACAGTCGAGTAATAGCTGTAAGTGTAAGAGGGGGTAAGTATGTTTTGGGAAAATAAATACCCAGTTAGTGCACTGAATAATAATGGATAATTATTTGTGATGGTATGTCTAGATATTAATGTTTTGATTGTGCTACTTGTGGAAGGTAATATATTGTAATACCCAATGAATATTTTATAAAAAGTTACAAAAGGCAGTCATTTGTCATAATTATTACAGTGATTACAGATAACTTATAGTGTATACGTACAATCTTAAAAATAACAAAATAAAACAGTAGAAAACAAACATCAATCTTTTGTGATGTTCTATAAAAAAGTAGATGTACATGTATTAAACACAATTTATTTTTACCTTTTGTAACTTCATGTCAGACTGCACTAGCCTTTCTTCCAATGTTCTGATCTTATTTTCAAGAATGTCCTTTTCTATCTGAAATGTATATCTATATACACATATATTCAAGGTAAACATTGGTATTGTGTTTGCTGCTTATTGAGAAATTAGGAGATGTAAGTAGTAATTCTTAACATTGTAGGAAAGCCTGTATTTTGGTGTAGAATAAAATATTAAAAACAATATGAAGCCCAATCTATAAACTGAATAACCAGCATCAATGCTATATATTCTTCAAAACATATAAACAAACACAAGTTTAATGAGGCAAGTAAAAGACAATAAAAATACCGTATGTATTTATATACACCTGGAAAAAAGTTAAGCACCCCCAAATATTTTTCAGGATTGCTTATTGAAAATAAGGTTTAATTTTCATGATGTTGAGCAATGTTCATAATTTCAAACATAATTAAAAGGATGTGAGCGTTCAGGTGTGACATTTAAA